GCTGCCAAACGGTCTGGATCTCCTGCCCCAAGGCATGGCTGTTGAAGTCCAGGTCCTAAGTGATAGAGGGTCTATCTGAATCTGTTAGATTTTTTTCTAGCTCCTTTAAAGCTAGAAAATCTGTCACTTGCATGGTCTATATCACACTTATTAGTGTAGTTTGTATGGTGTGCAATATGGAAATTCCAACTAAGGAAATACTTGGTGGGATCCTTACTGACTTTTCTCCAGTCTGGTCTCCAGTTGGCTCTGAGTGCTATCAAAGATTAGATCTTCTCTCTTGTGATTCTTTTTCAAAGACCGCTTGCTGGCTTCTCATTCTTTGGTAAAAGCCTTTGTACAGGGTTGCTCACATGGTTCCACATATGAGTCCACCTCTGTGACTTTGTGGGACCTCAACCTGTCCCTGTTGGCTCTTCAAAAAAACACTCTTTGAAACTATCAGAGCTATCTTCCTGTCTGCCCTCACAAGGTGGCCTTTCTCATCGCTGTCACCTTGGTGAGAAATGTTTGAGTTGGTAGCCTTGTCCTGCAAAAAGGCGTGTTTTTTTTTTTTTTTTTTTTTTTTTTTTTCTGTGCTTTAAGGAGACCAGGTTGTTTTGCATTCTAGGGCCTCCCTTCTCTCTAAGGTGGTATATTTCTTCCACTTTAATCAGGACCTTGCACTTCAGCCTACTTTCCTAGTCCAGTACACCCCAAAGGGATTTCCCTCCATTGTTTTTGAATGGAATACAAGCGATTACAATTTATCAGTCTACCATGTCTCCTTTTAGATTGACTGTCACCCAGTTTTTAGGTGGCTTACGGAGCTCCATCATTGAGGATTAAGCATAAAGTGTCCTCTTTTTCTATCTAGGTACAATCTGCTAGACAAGTAAATGCCTTTTGATCTTTTCATTATCAGGCATTTGTTTGCATGGTTGCCACCTGGTCTTCCAGTCACATGTTGCCTACGTCATTTCATTTTTTACCAGGTGGATGTTCAGGCCTCTGCTGATTTGCGCTTCAGGTGTAAGGGACTTCAGGCAGCTCTGTGAGCAGCAAGTAGACCATAGTTTCACCTTTTTTGTGGACATTTGGGAATGTAGGCATTCTTGCTGTGTTGCCTACACCTCATTTAGACTGCTTTGGGATGTCCCAGTGACTCAGAATTCCTCCTGTCCCTGTGTCCTTCATGAATGACTAAGAAAACAAGAATTTTGAATTGCTGTGAAATCCTTTTCTTGGAGTTCATCTACTGCTTTTGCCCAAAACTGAAGTATGATGGAAGTGGAAGGTGTTATACTGCCTGTTCAACATTTTTTTTTTTTTTTTTTTTCTCACATTGTCAAATTTTCTTGCATGTGGCAGTATAACCCTGTGTCCCAGAATTCCTTCTTACCTCGTGTCTGATAATGAAGTCCAGGAAAAGGGTTTTATAGTAAGTTAAATATCTTCCGTAATGAATTACGGAAATCTTCAGTAATAAATACATATATGTTTTTCAAGCTGAGGTGTACTACATCTGAGCATTACAAAACAAAAATGCTATTTTAATTCATTTTTAATATTCAAAGCAAACTTTGCCCATTCATCCATGTCTCCATGCTTAATTTTTTCATTTTGAAAAACAGCCCCTAGCATTTTTGGCTGTGACCATCTGGAGTAAGAGCAGATGATCCATGCAGTATTTACATCCTGGAATCCATCTGCCTGTAGCTCAAGCATGCAGGCAGGAGGGTGTGCTTAGCTGAGAAAATTCCTCCTGAAGACTCCTGGGATTTTTTACATCATTTGTCTAGGCCTGGAAGCCATGAAGTAACAAAAGAAAGGTGATGCGGTTTTCATGTGATTCATGCATTCTCTCTCTTTCTAAAATTAGCTCCGTAAAACAGGACACTTGACAAAAATGCACTGGAATCTCGTTTTCTCATTTGATGTGAACAGATTAGCATTTCACATGCAATTTACATTCAACTATATGGACCTCAAAATCAGATCACACCATTCCAAACATGTGTCCGACCTGCATAGGAATTCATTCTATTTTCCATGTCCAGCAAATCACTGCGGTGTAAAATGCATTGAAAATCGCATCACTGTGAACCAGGGCTTAGTGTTGATTGAGAGAGTGAAGTTCCACTTTATATTATTTTATTTATTTAGTTTGTTATAGTTGCTGTATTTGTATCATTTATTGTTTAGCGAGAGAGACAAGATTACAAAAAAGGGAAAATTAGACTGAGGTTATAGTTGAAGAGCACAGTCTGGCAGCTAAAGGGTTAACCTGTTCATCTTTTTTCTTCTTCTCATATTTCAGCTATAGGCCCATGAATTCAGCAATGATTTTATAATCATTTTGCGAAAACAAACCAGGCTTTCTTTTGATAGTACAATCTTTAAAGATGTGTTTAATTTTTGTGGGTATGTGTATGTATGTATATATATATATATATATATATATATATATATATATATATATATATATATATATATATATATAAATATATATATATATAAATATATGTAGCCTTTCTGCCATTTGCCCAGTGATTATTTTAAATGGGTTACCACAGGTACAGTGGGGCAAAAAAGTATTTCGTCAGCCACCAATTGTGCAAGTTCTCCCACTTAAAAAGATGAGAGAGGCCTGTAATTGGCATCATAGGTAGACCTCAACTATGAGAGACAAAATGAGAAAAAAAATCCAGACAATCACATTGGCTGATTTGGAAAGCATTTATTTGCAAATTATGGTGGAAAATAAGTATTTGGTCAATATCAAAAGTTCATCTCAATACTTTGTTATATATCCTTTGTTGGCAATGACAGAGGTCAAACGTTTCCTGTAAGTCTTCACAAGGTTGGCACACACTATTGCTGGTATGTTGGCCCATCCTCCATGCAGATCTCCTCTAGAGCAGTGATGTTTTGGGGCTGTCGCTGGGCAACACAGACTTTCAACTCCCTCCAAAGGTTTTCTATGGGCTTGAGATCTGGAGACTGGCTAGGCCACTCCAGGACCTTGAAATGCTTCTTACGAAGCCACTCCTTCATTGTCCGGGCGGTATGTTTGGGATCATTGTCATGTTGGAAGACCCAGCCACATTTCATCTTCAATGCCCTTGCTGATGGAAGGAGGTTTGCACTCAAAATCTCACGATACATGGCCCCATTCATTCTGTCCTGTACATGGATCAGTCGTCCTGGTCCCTTTGCAGAGAAACAACCCCAAAGCATGATGTTGCCACCCCCATGCTTCACAGTAGGTATGGGGTTCTTTGGATGCAACTCGGCATTCTCTGTCCTCCAAACACGACGAGTTGTGTTTCTACCAAACAGTTCTATTTTGGTTTCATCTGACCATATGACATTCTCCCAATCCTCTTCTGGATCATCCAAATGCTCTCTAGCAAACTTCAGACGGGCCCGGACATGTACTGGCTTAAGCAGGGGGACACGTCTGGCACTGCAGGATCTGAGTCCCTGGCGGCGTAGTGTGTTACTGATGGTAGCCTTTGTTACGTTGGTCCCAGCTCTCTGCAGGTCATTCACTAGGTCCCCCCGTGTGGTCCTGGGATTTTTGCTCACTGTTCTTGTGATCGTTTTGACCCCACGGGGTGAGATCTTGCGTGGAGCCCCAGATCGAGGAGATTATCAGTGGTCTTGTAAGTCTTCCATTTTCTAATTATTGCTCCCACAGTTGATTTGTTCACACCAAGCTGCTTGCCTATTGCAGATTCAGTCTTCCCAGCCTGGTGCAGGTCTACAATTTTGTTTCTGGTGTCCTTCGACAGCTCATTAGTCTTTACCATAGTGGAGTTTGGAGTGTGACTGTTTGAGGGTGTGGACAGGTGTCTATTATACTGATAACAAGTTCAAACAGGTGCCATTGATACAGGTAATGAGTGCAGGACAGAGGAGCCTCTTAAAGAAGAAGGTACAGGTCTGTGAGAGCCAGAAATCTTGCTTGTTTGTAGGTGACCAAATACTTATTTTCCCCCATAATTTGCAAATAAATTCTTTCCAAATCAGCCAATGTGATTGTCTGGATTTGTTTTCTCATTTTGTCTCTCATAGTTGAGGTCTCCCTATGATGCCAATTACAGGCCTCTGTCATTTTTTTATGTGGGAGAACTTGCACAATTGGTGACTGACTAAATACTTTTTCACCCCAATGTATACCATACTAATATTCTAACAATACTTGTACAAAGCAGGGCAATTTTTTCTGTTTTTTTTTTTCTTTTTACAAATTAAATTTTGTTTTTTGGGCGGGGTGTCTTCTTATTTTAAACACCATCAAAATCTGGCGGCTTGAATGTTTTTGTATGTATATTTTAATTTTTTTATTCATTCTATTTTTTTATTTTGTGCTTTTCCTCACTTGCAGTTGTGGAAAAAAATCTGACATACTTTTTGTTTCATTTAGAAGAAAGGTACTGAAATATTTTTTGTTTCATTTAAAGGGAAACTAAAAGTATATTTTCTGTTTTTGATATTGTAAGTTATTATTCCAGTCTTATTTTTATTATAACATTTGTATTTTTGCATAGTTAATGTTTTTGTTGTGTTTTTAAATATAGGAAAGATAGTAGACTGGCTGTTACAATTAATCCCTTTACAACTGTTGATTATAAATTGGAAACGAAGTGCACTGAGTAGGCAAAATCATAACATTACAATGTGAGAAGTAATAGTAAACCACACTTGTCTAGCCCTGAAAGTCAGGAAGTTCACATTGCATATGCTATGAGAAAATATGTCTGTCCCTAAGAACATACAGTATATTATGAATTTACACAAACTAGATTTTAAAACATGAACATGTTATAAGTTATGTCAGGGTGAAAAATGATAAAACTCAGCTGCAAAAGGATTTGAATTTCTGTCCAGCCAGTCATGAGAGATACCGTCAGAAAACTAAATTCTGAGCTATGTTCAGACATGAATTTAAAATGGTTAGTATGCGGTGGGCTTATGTGATTTGAAAGGCAACAAACCATAGTTATTTGTTACAGGTCTCCCTTCGGGAATTGGATGTGTCCAGTCCTTGAGAGTACAATGCAAGATGTGGATTATTTCAGTTTTCTGTTCTCAACACTCATAGGTAAAGTGAACTTTTACAAACTATGAATCTGGTAGTGTAAGAATTATGAGGGCTGCTATTGCTGACACCCTTCAGAAAATGCTGAGTGCCTGTTTGTCTTCAGCTACCAACACTCGACCTGGAACAAGTATATGCAGCAAGTGAAATCCTCGCAATGTCACGACGTCTCATCTCCATACTTCTTTAACATCTATAAACAAAGAAATGATTTTAAGACAGAAGCCCTTGTTGCATCCACCACACAACTGTGATTTCCTTTACCTGTGTCCTCGCTTCACAGGTGCTTGAGAGATTCTTCAGCCTCAAGGCATACTATAAAGTAAATGTTGCGTTCTTAGTAAATATACCGTATTTTTCGCTCCATAAGACGCACCTAGGTTTTAGAGGCAGAAAACAGGAAAAAAAAATTCTGAACTAATGGACTGCAGACATAGTACAGGAGATGACCAGAGACTGCGGACAGCACAGGGATGACCAGAGACTGCGGACAGCACAGGGATGACCAGAGACTGCGGACAGCACAGGGAGGGATGACCAGAGACTGCGGACAGCACAGGGATGACCAGAGACTGCGACAGCACAGGGATGACCAGAGACTGCGGACAGCACAGGGATGACGGAGACTGCGGACAGCACAGGGATGACCAGAGACTGCGGACAGCACAGGGATGACCAGAGACTGCGGACAGCACAGGGATGACCAGAGACTGCGGACAGCACAGGGATGACCAGAGACTGCGGACAGCACAGGGATGACCAGAGACTGCGGACAGCACAGGGATGACCAGAGACTGCGGACAGCACAGGAATGACCAGAGACTGCGGACAGCACAGGGAAGACCAGAGACTGCGGACAGCACAGGGAAGACCAGAGACTGCGGACAGCACAGGGAAGACCAGAGACTGCGGACAGCACAGGGAAGACCAGAGACTGCGGACAGCAGTACAGGAGATGACCAGAGACTGCGGACACAGTACAGGAGATGACTGCTGACCTTTGGGGGAGGGAGGGGGAGCGAGTACCTGAATTTGACAGGTACCCGCTCTTACTTCCGCGGAGTTGTTCTTTGATCTTACCTGTTCCTCTATCCAGCCGCGCGCTGTCTTCCCGGCTTCTGTAGTGTCGGCGCTCGGCATGACAGCCGGGTGCCCAGTGCGCATGAGCGAGAAGCACTTGCGCTTTGTGATTGGTCCGGCGGCTTCTGGGATCTGTCATGTGTCCCAGGTACCGCCTTACCATTCACAAAAAGCACTGCTTCTTGCGCATGCGCACTTGGCACCCGGCTGTAAAGCCCAGCGCCCACACTACAGAAGCCGGGAAGACAGCGCGCCGCTGGATAGAGGAACTCCACGGAAGTAAGAGCTCCCCACCTCCCCAAAGGTCAGCAGTCATCTCCATAAGGTCCCGCTGTAGAGCTGAGCGGCCGGCCCGGTATTTTGACACTGCGGCGGTGGAAATACCGGACCGGCCGCTCCATATTCGCTCCATAAGACGCACTGACATTTTCCCCCCTTTTTTGGGGGGAAAAAAGTGCATCTTATGGAGCGAAAAATACGGTAATTGAGAGACCCTCCTTCATCCCAGTCACACCCACCCTCAACCTGCTAATTCTCTGCACTTTACCAGCTAAAAGCTTTACCATCTAGTCCAGTTGCTCTGTTTCATTTCATCCCCCCACTTGGATCTGCTACAAAGCAGATGTTGTAGACAGGTGAGGTCAGCTCAAACAGTGCCTTTCCAGTTTGCATGCAACCTGGTGGCCAAGCAGTAAGAGTTGTTCTGGCCACCTAAAGTAGAACTGAAGCCAAAACCTTTATTTACTTTGGATAAAGTAAGGGAGAAATATACAAATCCTTTTTTTTTCTTTTTTTTTGGGGGGGAGGGGCATCTGTGTCCCATTGGGTAGATTTTTCTTCCTGTCCCATAGCCAGAACAGGAGCCTGTGGTTGTCAAAAGGGTCACCAGAACAAGTGTCCTCATTGGAAAATTTTCCATTTGTTACTGTTCAGGGGACAACAGGAAATGTGGAGTTTTCTTTCACTTTCTGACAAATAGAGTGAATCTTCCTACTGGAGGCACGGACAGCTATAAAACACATGCAGTCTTGATGCATTTTGTGATCTCACTAAGTCTGGGAAGCACAACTATTTAGAACTTTGAATTTAGTTCTGCCTAAACTAAAGCAGTATTAAACCCAACCACCCAGGCTACCTCCCCTAGTTCATCCACATGCAACACCCTTTGCTAAATATTAAATAATCCCCCTACAAACGATAGCTATATACACCCCACCTCCCACCACACTCTGTATTATATATCCACACTGCTCTCTCATTTGACCCCCACCCCACTTCCCCAGTACATGCCCACAGGCCGAAAAACATCTTTCCTCCAAAACGGATGTCCCTTTACACTCCTCCTTGGAAAGTCTGTACCTGGAATTATCGAAATAATCTCAGGCAGAATTTTGTGTTAACCTCCCCCGTCTGTCTATATGTCAGTTTAGTTTGGGTGTGTAGCTAATGAACAAGCTAATGCTTACTTTATTTTTGCTATTCTTTTGTATTAAATAGGGTTTTCTACAGAGAAGTTAGCATGGATGCAAAGTAATAAACTCACTTCTCGACTAAGCAAAACAAGAGTGTCTCGTGTCTGTCTTTATATGACTGAGCAGTCATTTTTTGCGCATCACTGGACAGTTACTCAGGTAAAGCCATCTTTCTGTTAAAAGTATTTACAGTCAAGCCAAATTTTTTATTTTTTTTTTTAAATTCTATGTTTGCGAAAGGTTTCTTGTTGAGGGCTCCCTTACTGGATTTCCTCACCTACAATGACAACAGTTTTGGCTGGCAAGAAGTTAGGAACATTTTCCAACAGCAACAGAGAATTTAAAAGCTTGCTTACTTCAAGGATTTCCTTTTTACTAAGAGCTCATTCACATCAGCAGTGGAGCGCCAGCTCTAGAATGCAGGTGTGCAGTAGGTTGACAATGGTGCTGATCTTGTGTCGCGTCGCACATTTTAAAATAGAAGCAAAGCAAAAAAATTTTTTTTTCAGATTTTTTGCTCTTTTTTTTTTTTTGTTTGTGGCGCAAAAAAATAAAACACCCAGTGACTATTAAATACCACCAAAAGAAAGCTCTATTTGTGTGGAAAAAAAATGATAAAAATGTCATATGGGTACAGTGTTGCATGACTGCACAATTGTCATTCAAAGTGCGACAGTGCTGAAAGCTAAAAATTGGCCTGGGCAGGAAGTGTCCGGTAGGCAAGTGGTTAATGGTGATAAATGTAAGATGAGAAATAAAAATGCAGCGCTTAGGAAATTAAATATGAACAAACAGAAACATGAACAGCATAACTGCATGACAAATTCAGTCCATATTGCATGGTGCGATAAAGTGACAGGTGCAATTGTCCTAATAGTTCATGTTCAGAGAAATTCGTGACTCTTGTGATCTCGTGATTTGTACAAATAATGCACTAACCAGATAGCGCAATCAAAGCGCATGGAGCAATTAAGACCCGCTCCTGGTGCTCTGGACTTGTAATATTAGGAGGATGTCATCTGTAGGTTTGGCCACCAGATGTCATCAATCCAGGTATATAGGTAAGTCATCAACCAGAAAGATCATCAGCGGGGGAGGGGGTGATCATGCATCATTCCCAGATGGACGGAACCTTCAAAAGCGGGCTCCCATATCATAGATGAGACCCAGAGAAGCCTTTTATGGACCGCTGCATCTTCAAATTGTAACAACGAATAAAAGTTTGAATCCAAAGATCCCTCCCGTCAGCCTCTCTGATAAATGTAAGGTTATGCACTTGGGGGCTAAGAATATGCATGCATCATACATACTAGGGGGGGTACAACTGGGGGAATCAATGGTGGAGAAGGATCTGGGAGTTCTGGTAGATCACAAGCTTAATAATGGCATGCAATGCCAAGCTGCGGTTTGTAAAGCGAGCAAAATCCTCTCTTGTATTAAAAGAGGTATAGACTCCAGAGAGAGAGATATCATATTACCCCTGTACAAATCATTAGTAACACCTCATCTGAAATTTGCAGTTCAGTTTTGGGCACCAATTCACAAAAAGAACATTGGGGAACTGGAGAAAGTACAGAGAGGTCAACCAAACTGATAAGAGGCATGAAGGAGATCAGCTATGAGGAAAGATTAGAGGAACTGAATTCTCTCTTGAGAAGAGGAGATTAAGGGGGGATATGATCAACATGTATAAATACATCAGTGGTTCATATAGTGAACTCAGTGTAGAGCTATTCACCCTGAGGTCATCACAGAGGACAAGGGAGCACTCTTTACGTCTGGAGGTAAAGAGATTTAATCACCAAACACGGAAAGGTTTCTTCACAGTGAGAGCTGTGAAATGTGGAATAGACTCCCTCAAGAGTTGGTTCTGGCCAGCTCAGTGGATTGCTTTACAAAAGGCCTGGATTCTTTCCGAGATACACAGAATATTACTGGTTACTATTTTATAAGTAAAGTTGATCCAGGGAATATCTGATTGCCTCTCGGGGGATCAGGAAGGAATTTTTTCCCCTGCAGGAGCAAATTGGATCATGCTTTGTTGGGGGTTTTTTTTGCCTTCCTCTGGATCAACTGTAGGTATAGGATTATAACTTTTTTTTTTATGGTTGAACTGGATGGACTTTTGTTTTTTGTTTTTTTTCAGCCATGCTATGTAACTACACATGCAATTGTTGATTGCGATACACATGTTGCTGCGCATGTTGCAATGAGAGCAATATATCTAGCACCAGACCTCCTATGCAATGCTAAACTGATGACCTATATGGGGCTTTAAGAGTCACTTGTAGAAATATTGGGTACTGAAGCGTGTTGCCATTTCACGGGTTTCCCTCAAATTTAAAGTTTGACATGTTGGATATCTGTTTACTCGATGCAACCTCGGCTTTTATATTTTTACAAAAAATTGGGTATTTTTTTACTCAAAAATTGGAGGGAAAGAAATGGGGAAAAGGTTGCAAATGGACTTTAAAGGCACAGAAATTCCAAACCCATATTAGTAAAATCAATTGTACTTTATTACAAGTCATGAAAAACATCTTGCAGTTTAAAAGATCATAGCCTTTCAATGGAAGGCAGGTCAATAATAGAGATCTTTATATTGGTGCTTGGTTGATGGAACCAACGTATCGAATAACCTGCAGGGCTTGACAGCCCTGAAAGAATGGCCATTTTATTATTTAGAATGGGTATTTTATTACGTTTTTGTGCCTCTTATAATTAACCCACAATTAGTTTGTTTTTTCCTTTGTGTAATATTGTGTGACTTAAAAAATTGGAACTGCCACTATTTTATTGTCGAGTATATGCTCCCTTTGGCTAGTATGGGGATATAATGGCGTTTGGCATTGGCGTTCGGTGGTGGTGCTCTTGGACCCCTGTTTTTTTTTTGTTTGTTTTTTTTTCTGTTAGTTTTTGGGTGACAGTGGACAGCTGCCTTTAGTTGTTATAGTCAGAGTTTCCTTAATGTTGTTGTAACTTATGTGCCATTGATGTGCGCATTAGTGGCAGTGTGTGCAGAAGTTCTAATTTCTGCCATGGACAGGAACATATCTCATTGCTAGAAGAAGAGGTGTTTGTGGTTGCCTAGCAGACCAACCAGCTGGCAGTCTACCCCATCAGGTGCATATCTGGTGCAGGCCTAAGGGAAAAATAATCGCGCAAGATTGACAGCAGCCTAGTTTGGGGAATCTCAAATGCATGGGGCAATCACTTAGAAGCTACATGATTTTTTTGAGCGCACCAGATTTTATGGGAAATTTGTTTTTGCCGTTATGTGGTCCAGCTCAGCCTTTCTCAACCGGGGTGCCTTGAGGTTTCTTCAGGGGTGCCTTGGAAAGATTTCTTAAAATTGCCCAAAATTTGTATACAAGCCAGCGGGTGGAACAAGCCTGTCTTTTAGTTACACAAAGCCACAGGTTTTCATAGTGCGCCATTACGACCTTCTACCCGCCAGCATCCTGACAAGCTATGACATCATCGGTTGATAAGGAGGATATCAGCTGCCTGCACATCTCCCCTACCCCTTTGCACCAGTGCTGGGGTCACATTAGCTCAGTGATGGAGAAAAACATTGGAATACTAGTCAGTTTTGTGAGTGGCATTTCTATTGTTTGACCCCATATTAAGGTTTTATACAGTTTTACACTATGGGATGTCTGGTTTTGTTTTGATTTATGCTGAAGATAATAAAACACTGCCTGTGGAGGAGAGGAGTTGCCTAACATGGATGCAGATCTAGTGGAAAGTTATTGGTTACATCTATGTGGGGCACCAGTGTGAACACAGTGAAGCACTTGTCAATTCAGTATGGAGTATCACCGTTACAGATACAGCACCTTTGCACCAATTATTCACATGTTGGGACTGAATATTAATATTTTATTTTGTATTTTGCTCAGTGTTATCACTTTAAAGACTGCACAGTTTATTTTGTCAATTTGTGACCTTAGCACGGTCCATTTTTGAAATATATAAGACTATGTTTGTGGATGTTGCTTTTTAGCTCTGAGGAAGGGGGTTCAGCTCCCGAAACGCGTCAGCTTATCCGCATTTAGACACAGCACCTTTGTGACTTTTTTGTGGACCCTATACACTGCTTTTAATATCGTTGGTTTGTGAGTATACATCCATTTGTTAATTCATGAAAACACGTGGTGTACCACGGTAATGCACGATGAGAGTGCGCCCTTGTCGGTTCATATCTGTGCAGGTGGTGTCGCTGCAGGACCCGCACAAATACCAGCATCTGCAACCATCCGCACAGAGAAATGCTGGACATCCTAATGACATTCTGCCTGCACTTGAAATCGCAACCGCACTGAGAACCTCAGTTCCCATGTGAGCTGCAATTTAGAAATAGTGCAAGGACTTCTTTCCTACGTGTCCCAGGGCACTGCAGCCCACTAAAAAAAAAATGGGCTCTCATGTCCACGCAATTTGTGGCCTGCAATGCCACACAGGTGTGAATCTAGCCTTAAGGTTTGCATCTATTTCCAGTTTTTCAAACCTAGAAGTGACAGATTTGGAGGTAAGGAGTGCACATCTGTTTACATTCACCTGCCCATTGACCCAGCATGGACCCTTTAACCACTTGAGCCCCATTTACCCCCCTTAATGACCAGGCCTTTTTTTGCTGTTTGGCGCTGCACTAATTCAAATGATAATTGCGCGGTCATGCAATGCTATACCCAAACAAAATTTACGTCCTTTTTTTCACACAAATAGAGCTTTCTTTTGGTGGTATTTGATCACCTGTGCGCTTTTTTATTTTTTGCGCTATAAAACAAAAAAACCACGAAAATTTTGAAAAAAAACAATATTTTCTATATAAACTCAAAGTTAGTCATAAATTTAAGCCAAAATGTATTCTGCTACATGTTTTTGGTAAAAAAAAATCCCGTGCATTAGCGGGCAAACTGGCGCTATCTAGGAGGGGCGCTAACACTATCGGAAGTCGCCAGCGACACTGATACAGTGATCAGTAAAAATTGGTTCACTGATCAGTGACACTGGTGACAGGGCAGTGCAGGGGTTAACTGGGGGGGGGGGCGATCAAGGGGTTAAACGGGATTACTGGTGTACTGGCGGGCAATCTGGCGCTATCTGGGAGGGGCGCTAACTCTATCGGAAGTCGCCAGCGACACTGATACAGTGAT